TGAGCTCTCCTGTACCTTCCTAGCCCCAGCCGCCACTCAGAGCCCAAACCCTCGGAGATGTGGTTAGACCCCAGGCCTGAACTGCATTCTGTAGTTGTCATCAGGCACACAGAAGAGATTTAAGAAAAATCCGAGAGCAGAAATATCCTAAACACGGGAACATAAACACAGGGCTCTGGCCTCCTGTTCTCACACAAAGATGAGGAAGGGTCCCTGCCACTTGAGGTATCCCAAGAAATGGGCTGCTGAGAAGCAACGGGCCACAGGCTACTCTTTTCCTCACCTAGTACAACCCAGGCTGGCCCAGTGATGAGGATCTGACTTTTGACAGGAGAGAGAGGACAGTCGGGTGGGACAGTAGCTTGTTACTTACACTGCAAAGGTTCCCCATTCACCATCCACTGGACAGTGGGTTTGGGGTTCCCATTGGCTCGACACACCAGTCTCCCATCCTCACCAGGAGCCAGGATGAGGTTCTTGGGTTCATCCAACCAGTAGGGAGCAGCTGGAAGACAAGGCAGGCACAGGTGGAGGAGTTAGATGGCACGGGGCAGGCCGAGGAACCACGCAGGCTCCGTCTAGGAAGGCAGGAGCTGCTAAGCCCCAGTGCCAGCCTCCCCACCTGCCCCAGAGCTCATCCTCATGGGGATGACTCGGTCCAGCCGTGCCTGGCCGGCCTGGCTGCACGATGTTGACCTGTGTATTTCCATTTCACAGAACAATAGTACTAGATAGGCTGCTTAGGATGCTAGGGCCTGTATCAGACCTACTAAATCAGAATCCCCAGGGTAGGCCTGGGCAGCTAATGCTTTTAGAGGTTGCAGGTTTTATGATGTGCACCTAAGGGTTCAACCCATGGCCAGAGAAGGCAGTAAAGTGGCACTGGGTTGGTCCCTCTGGATTTCTGCTGTTGCAAGATCAGACTCTTTGGGAAAGGCCTATGTATTCACTTCTTTAGGCGCTGAACTTCGGTTAGAGAGTTCTTAGCTGGCCACCCCTTTCAGTTGTTTGGACAATTTTGTGAATATGTGGATATGTGCGTT